AAATGATTTAGCCTCATCTGGCCTCATATCCCATTATAGAGGCTATGCTTTAGGAGTAAACGCAGGATGCTAGAGAAAGTCAATAAGTCTGGCAACATCTGGAGAGAGAAAAACAGAGTTAATCTTTTGAGTCTGTCATGACTTTCTTCACACTTTAGGAAGGATGTGATGGCCTTAGAGCACTTTTGTATAAATGACATACCTGGACAATATTACACATTGTTGGATAGATGCCAGTGTTTTAACTACTAGAACAGTTTGGCTGGGCTGCAGCAAGGTCTGGAGCACAAGGTCTTCAGTAGAGACAATGCAGTAAAGATGAATAAAAATGGTTCCAAGGGTAAGGGACTTCAGTGGGTAGATGAATGGAGAGGTTGGGACTGTCCACTTGATGAAGAAGCTTAAGAAGATTCAAATCTTAGATAACCCTCTTCGCTCACCAACCCTCACCAACTCTTACAGATGCACCATTGAAGGCATTCTATCAGCATCATGGCTTGGTACGGTAACTGCTTTACCCAAGTCTGTAAGTATAGAAAATTGCAGAAATTACAGCCCAGACCATCACACAAGCCAACCTTCCATCTATTTACTCCATCTACGTTGCTCGTTGCCACAGAAAGGCAGCTATCATTGTCAAAGACCTCTCCCACCCCGGTTATAATCTCTTCCAACCTCTTCCATAAGGCAAAAGATACAAAAGCTTAAACACACGTCCCCACAGATTCGAGCAGCTTCTTCCCCACTGTTGTTAGACTTCTGAATGGACCTGTCAAATTTCAAATTTAATGTTGATCTTGCTTTTTGTGCACCTTCTTTACAGTCATAACTTTGTTTCTCGCTCTACCACCCTATGATCTTTGTACGGTATGATCTGCTTGTACTGCATGCAAAGCAAAGCTTTTCACTGTACTTAGGTACATGTGACAATAATAAATCAACTCAAAATCAAATCACATTGTCCACCAATTTTGGTGTCGTCTGCAAAATTACTAACCACACCCTCCATATTCTCATTTGAATAATTCATATAAATGACAAACAAAAGTGGACCCTGTGGAGTACCACTGGTAACAGGCCTCCAGTTTGAAAAACAACCTTCCACCATCATTCTGTCTCCAGCTATTATGCCAATTTTGTACTCAATTGGCTAGCTCGCTCTGAATCCCATGTGATCTACCTTTACTAATAAGTTACCATGTGAACCTTGTCAAAGGCTTTACTAAGGTCCAAGGAAACAATGTCTACCACTGTGCCCTCATCAATGTTTTGGTTGCTTACTCAAAAAACTGAAACAAATTTGTGAGACATGATTACCCTAGTACAAAACACTGACTATCCCTAATAATTCCTTTCCTCTCCAAATGCATATAAATCATATCTTTCAGAATCACCTCCATCAACATACCCACCACCGAAGTCAGTCTCACAGGTTATAGTTCCCAAGCTTCTCCTTACAACATTTCTTAACCAAAGGTACAACAATAGCCACTCTCCAGTCATCCTTGGTACTAGTTGTGAATTGGAGTATAGTCCAGTTTATCAAAGATGGAATTCAGAAGAAGGATTATATTGGACTGGAAGCAGTAATTCTATTTCTCTCTCCACAGATCCTGCCAGACCTGCTGAGTTTCTCCAGCACACTGTTTTCATTTCAGATTTTTCACATCTGCAATATTTTGTTAATATTGCAATTAAATGTTGCTGTGTCTCTTTTATGATGCTAAATATTTTCTGTTTCTAATTCAGGCATCTTCAGATCTGAACCTAACTGAGTCTTTGGCCACTGATACCGCAGACAGGTAACAAATTTCCGAATCGTGGTATACCCCATATTGTGAACTAAAGTCACTGCATTTTGTGTTGTTGGAGTCATTTTCACTTGAGGCTGAGGCTCTCAGTTCTTCACCCTCTGATATACTAACTGTATTACTTGTCAGTATTCTATTGGAAGTTAAATTGACAGTAGTGTTAGTTTAGATTTGCAGCTACTCTTATCAGATGTGCATGAACCATGTTTTGGTCTGTTTCTTCTTGATGTCTGCACCACAAAAGAAGCCAGACTTCAGAAAAGCAAAGGCTCTGGGTCCTTAAAATATTCTGAGATGTGGGAATGTAAGGCCATTGAATCTACTCTGCCATTCAATGAGATCATGACTGATCTGATAATCCTCAGTTCCATTTTCCTGTTTTTCACCATGACCCTTGATTCCCTTTCTGATCTGTCTGTCTGTCTCACCTAGGTATACTTAATGTTCCAGCCTCAATAGCTTTCTGTGGCAAAGAATTCCACAGATTAACTACCCTCCAAGAGAAGAAAGTCCTCCTCATCTCTATCCAAACTGGGCAATTTCTTATCATGAGATGATACTCTCTGGCCCTAGACTCTCCCACAAGTTAAACAGCCTCTCTGAATCAACCCTGTGAAACATTGTTTCCTTGGACCTTAGTAAAGCCTTAAGAATCCTGTGCTTTAATAAGGTCTCTTCTCATACGTCTAAACTCTAACGAAATCAAGTGAAACTGCTCAACCTTTCCTGGTAAGAAATTCTCTGCATACCTGGAATCAATATCGCGCACTTTCTTTGGACTGCTGCCAGTGGGACTATCTTTCCTTAGATAAGGGGACCAAAATTATTTATTCTAGGTTGGTCTAACTACTTCCTTGCATAGTTTTAGCATGATATCCCTATTTTTGTACTCTATTCCCTTTGAAACAAATGACAACATTCCATTTACCTTCCCTATTATCTGTTGAACTTTTTGTGATTCTCAGATCTTTCTGTGCTGCAGCATTCTGCAGTCTTTCCCCACTTAAATAATTTTCAGCTCCTTTGTACTTCCCGCTGGGGAGTTGGAAGTATTCCTGCATTATCTTCCATCTGCCAAGATTTTGTCCACTCACTATATCCCTCTGTAAACTCTGTGTCATCCTCACTCCTTGCCTTCCTACTTTTTAAGCTTGGCTATAGTATGTTCACTTTCATCGTTAATGTCGTTAATATATGTTTTAAATCATTGTGATCCTAACATTGATCTCTGTGGTACTCCACTCATTACAGGTTGCTATACTGAAAATGCCACCTGGTTCCAATACACTCCTGTACTAGTTAGCTAATCCTCTATCCATGCTAATGTGCTACCTCCAACACCATGGGCTTTTATGAAGTATCCTTTTGTATGGTATCTTATTGTGTGCATTTGAAATATATTACATCTACTAGTTCCCCTTTATCTAGCCAGCTTGTTATTTCCTCAAAGAATTCTAATAAATTTGTCAGGCATGTTTTTCTCTCATGAAGCCAGGCTGACCCTGCTCAGTTATGTTATGTACTTCTAAATGCTCTGCCGTTACATCCTTTCAAATAGACTTATTTTCCCATGCTAGCCATTAAGCTAACTGACCTGTAGTTAGCTGATTTTTGTCTCACTTCCTTTTTGAATTGGGGTGTTACATAGGTGGTTTTTCAATCCTCTGGGACCTTTCCAGAATCTAAGGATTCTGCAAGATTACTATATGTGCATCCACCATCTTTTAACTACTTCCTGTAATATAGTAGGATGCATCCCATCAGGTATAGGGTTATCTGTCTTTAGCCTCATTAGTTTCCCTAGTACTTTTATCTGGTTGTTATTTTATTTATCTCCCTTCCCTCTTGGTTATTTTGTAGTTTCAGAATGCTATTGCTGTATTCTACTAAGAAGACTGGTGCAAAGTATTCATTCAACTTCTCTGCCATTTCCTAGTTCCCCATTATTATTTCCCTAGCTCCATTCTCTCAGGGGTCTATGTTCACTTTGAATTCTGTCTTCCTATTTATATTTTCAAAGAAGTTCACTGTTCTTTTTTATATTACTCGCTAGTTTACCTTGAACCTATATTTACGCCCTCTTTTTATTTGGTCACCTTTCGTTCTTTTTTAAATTTTCCAAATTCTCTTGCGTACCACTAATCTTTGCTACCTTGTGTATCCCTTCTTTAAATTCCATATCACCCTTAACTTCCTTGGTTAACTACAGTCTGTTTATCCACTCTAGAATCCTCCTTTGCCAGTGGAATATATCTTTGTGTAAGCTTTTTTTCTTAAATGCCTCCCATTTTTCGTGACGCTAAACTCCTTTTCTGTGCACTCCAGCCAGCTCTGCCCTCATTACTTGTAAATACTCTTATTTAACTTTTGCACAGTTGTTTCTAACCTGAGTTTCTCACACTCAATCTGAATATTATATTGCATCATGCTGTGTTTCCGAGAGAATCTTTTACTCCGAGATCATTTATTGAACTTGTCTCATTCCACATTACCAGATACAAAATAGCCAAAATGGCTATTAATAGAAAAGCAGTATGTTAGCAGTATGTTATTTAAATAGAGAGAAATTGTACAATTCTGCAGCATAGAGGGATGTGTCTGTCCTTGTAGTATGCAGATGCAGCAAGTGATAAGGAAGGCAAATGGAATGTTGTAATTTATTGGAAGAGCATTGTTATTTTCATATTCCAATGTTCTGCTATGCTTGATTAAAGAATTGGTGAGACCACATCCAGAGTACCATGTACGACTTTTGTCTCCTTACATAAAGGAAATAAATGCTTTAGAGTTTTTTAAAGATATGTCACTCATGTGGTACTTCAAATGGGAATGGTTGTCCTTTGTGGAAAGATTGGACAGATTGAGCTATTGGTGTTTTAGATTGTACCTATTGGAGCTTAAAAGAATGAGGTGATCTTATATAGACGGACAATATCCTGCAAGCACTTAGGGTAAATCCAGACGATTCCAGTTTGGCTAATGTAACAAGAAAGATGGGAGGCAGAAGACAGGAAACTATAGGCCAGTTAGCCTGATGTCAGTCGTTGTTAAGAATTTCGAGTCTGATATTAAGGATGAGATTGCTGAGTACTTGGAAGTGCATGGTAAAATAGGGCACAGTCAACATGGCTTTGACAAGGGGAGTTCATGCCTGTCAAATCTATAAGAATTCCAGAAGGTTTTTGACAAGATGCTGCCCAGGAAGCTGCTAAATAAGATGAGCCCATGGTGTTAGGGGTGAGATACTGGCACTGAGAGAGGATTGGCTGACTGGCAGAAGGCAGAGAGTAGAGATAAGGGGGTCTTTGTCAGGATGGCATTTGGTGATTAGTGGAGTTCTGCAGGGCTCAGTTTTGGGACCACAGCATACATTAACGAAGGAACTGAAGGCATTGTTGCTAAGTTTGCAGATGGCACAAAGATAGGTGGACGGACAGCTAGTGTCGAGAAAGTGGTGAGGCTACTGACATTTTAGCAGAGTGGGAAAGAAGTGGCAGATGGAATACAATGTGAGAAAGTGTAACGTTCTGCACTTTGGAAGGAAGAATAGAGATGTGGACTATTTTATAAATGGGAAAAGGGACTTGGGAGTTCTAGTTCAGGATTCTCTTAAGGTTAACATTCAGGTTCAGATGGCAGTTAGGAAGGCAAATGCAATATTGGCATTCATTTCAAGATGGCTAGAATATACAAACTGAAATGTTCTGCTGAAGCTGTACAAGGCTGTGGTCAAACCGCATTTAGAATAGTGAGAGCAGTTTTGGGCTATGTATCTAAAGGAAAGATGTACTGGCTTTGAAGAAAGTCCAGAGGAAGGGCTTATCTTATGAGGAGCAGTTGAGAACTTGGTCTGTGCTCACTGGCGTTTAGAAGGATGAGGGGCCGATATGATTGAAATGTACAGAATATTGAGAGACCTGGACAGAGTGAATGTGGAGTTGATGTTTCCACTAGTAGGTGAGACAAGGATCTGAGGAGTAAGCGTCAAAGTGAAGGGGTGACCCTTTAAAACTGAGATCATAGAATCTCTACAATGTGGAAACAGGCCCTTCGGCTCAACAAGTTCACACCGAACCTCGGAGCATCCCACCCAGACCCATCCCCCTATAACCCACCTAATCTACACCTCCCTGAACACTACGGACAATTTAGCATGGCCAATCCACCTAACCTGCACATCTTTGGACTGTGGGAGGAAACCGGAGCACCCGGAAGAAACCCACACAGACACTGGGAGAATGTGCAAACTCCACACAGACAGTCGCCCGAGGCAGGAATCGAACCTGGGTCCCTGGCGCTGTGAGGCAGTAGTGCTAACCACTGTGCCACCATGCTGCCCAATAAGGAAGAATTGGGAAGGAGATACGGAAGAATTTCATCAGTCAGAGGCTGGTTAATCTGTGGAACTCATTGTCACAGAGGGCTGTGGAGGCCAAGTCATTGAGTGTATTTAAGACAGAAATTGGTTCTTGATTAATAAGGGGATCAAAGATTATGGGGTGAAGGCAGGAGAATGGGGTCAAGAAACATATCGGCCATGATCGAATGGTGAAGCAGACTCGATGAATGAATGGTCTAATTCTGCTCATTCCTTATTGTCTTATGGATGCAGAAAAGATGTTTGCCCTTGTGGGAGAGTCTTGACTCAGGAACATTGCGTATACGTCTTCTTTCTAAGCTGAGAAATTTCTTTGAGTGTGGAACTGTATATGCATATAAATTGGGTACAAAAATAGCCCAATTGGCCTCTTAACCTTATTCTGTCTTTAAAAATGAATGTGGTTGATTTGCTGGAGGTCTCAAATTCGTGTCTACGCCCTGTCTGCTTTGACTCCCTTCACAATTTTCCATTTTGATTGGACCTTTCCAAATCGAGGGAATTTTGGAAAATTAAAACCAATGTATCTACTATTTCAATAGCCGCTTCTTGGAAGCCCTTAGGATGAGGTCCATCAGAACCTGGGGACTTGTCAGATTGTGTTCTCCTAATTTTCTCAGTTCTTTTTCCTGATGATTGTGATTGTTTTAAGTTCCTCTCTCCTTTTCACCACCTGATTCACAATTGTTTCTAAGATGTTCCTTGTATGCTCATCGGTAAAAGGCAGACACAATAAATCTGTTCAATTAATTTGCCATTTCCCCAGATACTGGTGGAGACATTGAATATTTTAAAGATTTTTCTAGCTGTGTATCACAGGAGTCAAAGGTTATCAGGGATAGATAGAAAACTGTTGTTGAAGCTAAAGTCAAATCAGCATTAACATTTTGAATGACGGAGCAGGCTTGAGGGGCTGAATGGCCTACTCCTAATTTGTATGTATATGGACCAGGTAAGCAAATTTCCTTCTCTGAAGGGCTCAAGAGAACCTGATAGGTTTGGATGAAATTCCAGTAGTTTTATGATCACTGTTAGAGAGTAGGTTTTTATTCCATTCTCATAATTTTGAATTGAAATTCCATTGGTTATGTTGTGGAATGTAGACTCGTGTCTTCAAGGCATTGGCTAACCTCTGGACTTGTAATATACTAACATTACTACAATGCTACCATTTTCAGTTCTGATTAGTGATTTATTATAGGCTAAGTTGACAGTCTTGCTAGTTAATGATTCATTCTGAGGATTGAAGGTGTTGTTTCAGACCAGAAGAGATTCTCGAGGAAAGGAGGAGCCTGACCAAAGAAAAAATGAAGAGAGAAATGGTGACTGGTGTAGACCAGGGCATCATCATGCAAGGTTTGTGGCCTGGATCGAGTTGATACAGTAATTATTTTGTTACTACTCCCTAGGTCTCAGAAGATGTGACAGCAATATTCAATTTTGAGCTGCCAAAAAATAAATAATTCTGGCTGTTTTGTGTTGGAGAACTGAATGTTTTCAGCTTCAAGCTGATGTGGCTGAGGGAAGAGAATAGGCAATAATGGGAAAATTTCTATTTTACTGTGGTTTCTTTGGACATGTGATTCAAGAGCCACACACTCAATTGTGTGAAGCAGACCCACAGAGAGCCTCTCAAAGGCAGTGAATGATCACCCAGAGAAAAATCTGAATAAAGGCCTTTGCCCCATCTGAGCTGTTCTGTATTTAAGGGTCTGAGGTACTAGCCTGACCCCTGGGTGTCCTACTAATAAACATTTATCAGGGTCATATGTCCCTAGTACACATTAACGGTGACTTTGTTGGTGGGAAATGGAGGTCTTTGTGAATAAGTCCAAATCTTCTCTGTGGCCAGCAATAGTGTTTGGACTTCAATTGCACTAAATTTCCCCCAACCCCGTCCCCACGCATGAAACTCCCTATCTCCCATCCCAGAAGTTGACCCCAATTTTAAAATAGGGGCCTAATCCTGATTCTCATAAGACTGCATTTTCTAGTGCCATTGAAAATGTCATTGGGCAATGTAATTGTCATATGGGCTGTCTATGTCCTAGTCTCTTTCCTGACACATTTAAATCACAGTCTGTTGAATGACTATTTTTAATATAGAAAGGGTAATTTTAATAATAATGTTGAGTTCATAATGGTCACTAAGTATATCTCTGTGATCTGCGCACCCTAACATTAGAAAGAATAGGCACTGGTACCTCCTTATAGAGACAGACACACACCCCTTGCAGGCTCCCTGCATGCTGCCACACATGCTATGCTATGCCACACCCCACACACCACCACTCTGGTTGCTAAGTCCCAGTAATTGAGAAATACAAAACCCATCATTTTACTTCAAACAACTACAGCGATGTGAGAATCTATTTTAGTCTCTGAGCCTGAATCCAGGTTCCTAATGTATTGAAGGCAAATTTTGGTTTAGTTGAACTGAGTGAATCAGAAGGAAAATGGCACCTCACAAAACTGCTCAAATGAATTCACTTTATATTCACTGAACTGTAAGATATGTATATACATATTTATATAGTCTAGAATAGTGCAGAGTCACAAATCTCCCAGGTTATGACAATCTCCAACAAAAGAGAATCTTGACATTAAAGACACTACCATCACTGAATTTCGTGTTATCAACATCCTGGGGGTGACCAGAAACTGAACTGGACTAGTCATATTAATACTGTGGCTATAACAGCAGATCAGAGGCTAGGAATCCTGTGGTGAGTAACTCACTTCCTGACTCCCCCAAAGCCTGTCCTGCATTTACAAGGCACAAGTCAGGAGTGTGATGGAATGCTCCCCACTTGCCTAGACGAGTGCAGCCCCGACAACACTCAAGAAGCTCAACACCATCCAGAACAAAACTGCGCACTTGATTGGTTCCACATCCACAAACATTCATTCCCATCTCCATCAACGTACATTGTAAACTAGTTTGGCGGGAGTTGGAAAAGGAAGAGAGGAGGCGTTGGGGTGGGGGAGGTAGAGAGGAGGTGGGATGGCGGTGGAGGGGGAGGGGTGGAGAGAGCGAGAGAGAGGAAGGCTCTGGAGGGCCATTGAGAAGTCAGGACAAAATACATTAGACATCGAGAGCAAGTTTACTGTTGTTAGCCAGGGGCACAGTAAAGGGATGGAAAAGATTTCTGGTTTAAACTGCATTTATTTCAACACGAGGCCTGACTAGTAAGGCAGATGAGCTCAGAACATGGATACGCTCTGGGGACTGAAATATTATAGCCATAACAGAACATGGCAGAGTGAAGGGCAGGACTGGCAGCTCACAAGCTACAGGTGTGACAGAAGTACAAGTAAGTGAGGAGGGCAGTTGCCCTTTTGATAAAGGAGGACATAATAACAGTGCTTAAAGAGAATATTCTTAAGAGGTCATCAAATGAGACCATACGGTTAAAGCTTAGAAACAAGAAGAGGGTGGTCACTCAGTTGGGACTGTGTTATAGACCTCCAAATAGCCAGCGGGTACTAGAGGAGCAGATGTGTAGAGAGATTGTAGATACCTATAGGGAAAGTAGAGCAGTATTGGTTAGAGATTTTAATTTCCCCTGTATTGATTGGGCCACCCAATGTAAAAGGCCTGGATGGGGAGGAATTTGTCAAATGTATCCAAGAAAGTTTCCTAAATCAATATGTAGAGAGCCCTAAAAGGGAGGGTGCAACACTGGACCTCCTGTTAGGAAACAATGTCGGACAAGTGACTGAAGTGTCAGTCGGAGAGCACTTTGGGTCCAGTAACCATAATTCTCTTAGTTTTAACATATGGTGCTGAACTAGAGCAGGGCCAGTTTTGCGGCAGGGGCTAGCAGAGGTCGATTGTTTGTAGGAAAAGGAATGACTGGCAAATGGGAAGCTTTCAGAACTGAGATTTTAAGAGTTCAGAGACAGTATGTCCCTGTTAGGGTGAAGGGAAAAATTGGCACGTTTAGGGATCCCTGACTGACGAGGGATATTGAGGCTCTGGTCAGCAGAAAGAAGAAGGCATACATTGGGTTTAAGCTATCAGGTTCGAGTGAATCCCTAGATGACTATAAAAAGTGTAGGAGCACACTTAAGAAAGAAATCAGAAGAGCAAAAAGAGGGTATTAGATGGATCTGGCAGATAAGGTTAAAGATAATCCCAAGAGGTATAGCTATATTAAGAGTTAGAGGGTGGCTGGGGAAAGAATAGGTCCCCTGAAAGATCAGCATGGCCGTCTATGTGTGCAGCCGCAGGAGATGGGGGAGATTTTTAATGAATATTTCTCCACAGTGTTTACTGACGAGAGAATCATGGATGCTAAGGAAATCAGGGAAGCAAGTGGGGATATTTTGGAATGCATACATATTGCCAGAGAGGAGGTGTTCGCAGCCTTAAAGCGCATTATGGTGGATAAGTTCCCTGAGCCTGATCATGTCCGTTCTTGAATGTTATGGGAGGCTAGGGAAGAAATTGCAGAGGCCCTTGCAGAGAACTTTGCTTCATCATTAGCCACTGGTGAAGTTCCAGAAGACTGGAGGGTGGCTAATGTTGTTCCATTGTTTAAGAAAGGTAGGAAAGACAAGCCAGGGAACTACAGGCCAGTGAGCTTGACATCAGTGGTAGGCAAGTTATTGGAGAGGATACTGAGGGACAGGATCAACCAATACTTGGATAGTCAAGGTCTGATTAGGGATAGTCAGCATGGACTGTGCACAGGAAGTCATGTCTGACAAATCTTTTAAGAGTCTTTCGAAGAGCTAACCAAAAGGATAGATGTGGGTCAGGCAGTGGATGTTATCTATTTGGACTTTAGTAAGGTCTTTGACAAGTACCCGCACGGCAAGCTAGTCATGCAGGTTAAGTTGCATGGGATCCAGGGAGAGCTAGCTAATTAAATTAAAAACTGGCTCAATGTTAGGAAGCAGAGGGTGATGGTTGAAGGTTGTTTCTTGCACTGGAGGCCTGTGTCTAGTGGTATGCTACAGGATCAGTGCTGGGATCTTTGTTATTTGCTATTGACACAGATGATCTGGATGAGAATGTACAAGGCATAATTAGTAAGTTTGCAGATGATACAAAATTAGGAGGTATCGTAGACAGTGAGAAAGGTTATCAAAAGTTACAGCGGGATCTTGATCAGATGGGGAAGTTGGCTGAGGATGACAAATGCAATTCAATGCAGGTAAGTGAGTGGTGTTGCACTTTGGAAAGTCAAACCAAGGTAGTAGTTGTACAGTAAATGGTAAGGTCCTGAGGAGTGTTGTGGAGCAGAGAGTCCTAGGAGTACAAGTACATAGTTCGTTGAAGTGGCGTCACAGGTGGACAGCGTGGTGAAGATGGCATTTAGCATGCTGACCTTCATTGGTTGAGGCATTGAATATCGAAGTTGGAACATTATGTTACAGTTGTATAAGTCATTGGTGAGGCTGCACTTGGAGCATTGTGTACAGTTTTGGTCACCCTGTTTTAGGAAAGACATAGTTAAGCTGGAAAGTGTGCAAAGAAGATTTACGAGTATGTTGCCGGGACTAGTAGGCTTGAGTGATAGGGACAGTTTGGCCAGGATAGGACTTTATTCCTTGGAATGTAGGAAAATAAGGGGTGACCTTATTCAGGTGTATAAAATCATAAGGGGCGTAGATAGGATGAATGCATATATAGTCTTATATCCAGGAATGAGGAATTCAAAATTGATGGGGCATAGGTTTAAGGTGAGAGCGGAATGATTTAAGAAGGACCTGAGGGGCAACTTCTTTGTGTAGAGAGCGGTGCATATATGGAATGGGCTGCCAGAGAAAGTGGTTGAGGCACATGCAATAGCAACATTTTAAAAAAAACATTTTAATAGGTACATGATGGGAAGGTTGAGAGGGATATAGACCAAATGTGGGCAGTTGGAACTAGCTGAGTGAGCACCATAGTCAGCATCGACCAGCTTGGGCCGAAGGAGCTGTTTCCATGCTGTATTACTCTGTGACTCTAACTACCACCTACAAGAAACTCACCAAGGTTCCTTCAACAGCACCTTCCAAACCCATGAATACTACCATATATGATGACAACGGTAGCAGATACATGGGAATGCCACCACCTGCAAATTCCCCTTCACCCCCATGCCGTCATTACATGGAAATGTATCTCCAATCCTTCACTGTCTATGGGTCAAGGCCCTTGACTTCCCTTCTGGCCAGCACTCAGGTTGTACAATGTGATATGGATAGATTAAATCAGTGAGCAAAGATTTGGCAAATGGAATATAATTTGGGAAAGTGCAAAAATTTTCAGGATGGATGGAAATGAAGAGCATATAAAGCATTCCTTTATAATTACCCTTATTTAAGTTTGGCAGATTATTTTCCAACCCAAATTCTGCCCTTAGAACTAAAAGCTAAATTGTGTACTACATTACGGACTCATTTCCCATTTACTCCAAGATAATCGATTAATCTATCTCATTACACATCACCAGATCCAAAATAGCCTGATCCCTGGTTGGATCCGCAACGTATTGTTCTTGGAAATTGTCCTGAAAACATTTTATTTTTCAATGTTTGTACGCTCTATTGAAACATCTTTTTAGCATCTACCCTGTCAAGCCTCCTTAGAATCTTGTATGTTTCAATAAGATCACCTTTCATTCTTTTAAACCTTTGATTCTTCCTACCCAAAGTGCATGACCTCACAATTTGCTACATTAAATTCCATCTGCCAAGATTTTGCCCACTCACTCAACCTTTGTATATCCCCTTGGAGATTCCTTATGTCCTCATCACAACGTGCTCTCCCACCTATTTTTGTATCATGAGTGAAATTGGATACATTACACTCTGTCCCCTCCTCTGATTCAATAATGTAGATGGTAAATAATTAAGATTCTAGGACTGATCCTTGTGTCATTCTACTAGTTATGTATTTCCCACCTCCAAAAGGCCCTTAATCCCAACTGTATGTTAACTGATTCTCAATCGATGCCAGTACATTACCCTCAATACCACAAACTCCTATCATGTGAAATATGCTTTTATGTGCCACCTTGTCAAATGTCTTCTGGAAATCCAAATATGCTGCATCTAACAGTTCCAGTTCTTTAACTCTGCTTGTAATGTCCTCAGAGAACTCTAGCAAAGTTGTCAAACATGATTTGTCTTTCACAAAACCATATTGACTTTTGATTGCGTTATGCTTTTCTAAATATATTTTGAATTGACTGGAAGGGGAACCTAGCAGGGAAGATGGTGGAGCAGTAATGGCAGTAGTTTCTGGAGATAATTTTGGAGGTACAGCAGAAATTCATCCCAAGGAAGAAGAAACCTACTAAGGGGAGGACAATGTAACAGTGGCTGGCAAGCAGCCTAAAAGCAAAAGACAAAGCATACAATCAGCAGATTGGGAAGCCTTTAAAAACCAGCAGAGAACAACTAAAAAAGCAATGAGAAGTTGAAATACGAGGGTGAGCTAGCTAATAATATAAAAAGAATTGTAAGAGTTTTTTTTTAAGAAATATGAGAAGTAAGAGAGAGGCAAGAGTGGTGTTGGACTGCTGGAAAACTGACTGGAGAAGTAGTAATGGGGAACAAAGAAATGATGGAGGAACTGAATAGGTACTTTACATCAATCTTCAGTTGGAAGACACCAGCAGCATAACCAGAATTTAAAGAAGGTCAGGGGGCAGACGTGAGTGTAGTGGCCATCACTAAGGAGAAGGTACTGAGGAAGCTGAAAATGGATAAATCAATCAGACCAGGTGGACTACACCCCAGAGTTTTGAAGGAGATAGCTGAGGAGATTGTAGAAGCATTGGGGTGATCTTTCAGGAATCGCTGGAGTTAGGGAGGGTCCCAGAAGACTGGAAAATAGCTAATGTAACATCCCTGTTTAAGAAGGGAGGGAGACAGAGGACAGGAAGTTATAGGCAGGTTAGCCTGACCTCAGTCATTGGTACAATTTTAGAGAATGAGATTGCTAAGTACTTGAAAGTGCATGGCAAAATAGTGCTGAGTTGGCATGACTTTGTCAAGGGGAGTTCATGGCTGACAAATCTGTTCAAATTCTTTGAGGAGTTACTGAGCAAGCTAGACAAAGGAGAGTCAATGGATGTGATCTATTTGGATTTCCAAAAGGCCTTTGGCAAGGCTCTGCACAGGAGGCTGATAAGTAAGAGCTTATGGTGTCAGGGGCAAGATGCTGGAGTGGATGCAGGATTGATTGACTAGCAGAAAGGGGATGAAGGGGTCTTTTCAGAGATGTCAACCGGTGACTAGTGGAGTTCTGCGGGTGTCAGTGTTGAGGCCAAAACTGTACACGTTATACATCAATGATCTGGATGAAGGAATTGAGGGTGTTGTTACTATGTTTGCAGATGACACAAAGACAGGTGGACAGCTAATGTTGAGGAAGCAGGGAGGCTGCAGAAGGATTTGGACGTGCTAGGCGAGTCGGCAAAGAAGTGGCAGGTAGAATAAAATGTGGGAAAATGTGAGGTTATGCACTGGGGAGGAAGAATAGAGATGTAGACTATTTTATAAATGGGGGAAAGGCTTTAAAAATCTGAATCACAAAGGGACCTGGGAGTCCTAGTTCAGGATTCTCTCAAGGTTAACATGCAGGTTCATTTGGTAGTTAGGAAGGCAACTGCAATGGTGGTATTTATCTCAAGAGGGCTAGAATACAGGAGCAGAGCTGTACTGCTGGGGCTGTATAAGGCTCTGGTCAGACCGCATTTAGAATATTGAGAGTAGTTTTGGGCCTTGTATCTAAGGAGAGATGTTCTGGCCTTGGAGGGAGTCCAAAGGAAGTTCACAAGAATGATCTTGGGAATGTAGGGTTTATGTGAAAAGCATTTGAGGACTCTGGGTCTATATTCGGTTTTAGGAGGATGAGGGGATTCCAATTGAAACTTTGAATACGGAGAGGCCTGAGTAGAGTGGATGTGGAGATGTTGTTTCCACTAGTAAGAGAGACTAGGACCTGAGGGCACAGCCGCAGAATGAATGGACAGCCCTTTAAAACGGAGATGAGGAAGTTCTTCAGTCAGACATTGGTAAATCTGTTGAACACATTGGCGTAGAAGGCTGTGGAGGCCAAGGTATTAAGTGTGTTAAGATTGAGATAAATAGGCAAGGGGATCAAGGGTTACAGCAAGAAGGCAGGAGAATGGGGTTGAGAAACATATCAGCCACGATCAAATGGTGGAGCAGACTCAATGGGGCGAATGACTAATTTGCTACTATATCATATGGCCCATTTCTTCATTAATAATGGACTCAAGCATTTTCCCAATGACGGATGTTAATCCTTTGGATGTTATGCCCTACAGTTTCTTAGTTTCTGTCTCGCTTCCTCTTGATCAGGAACATAATGTTAGTGGCTTTCCAGTCCATTAGAACTCTCCCGGAATCCAATGAGTTCTGGACTATTTCAACCAATGCCTCCACTATCTCTGCAGCCATTTCCTTTAAAACCTTTGGAGACAGGCAGTCAAGTACTGGCGACCAGTTTACTTTGAATCCCATTACAAAATATTTAGTCGTACACAATAGACAGTGTTACAAGATCTTTCCTCTGTTAGCGCTTTACTTATCTTTTACCTTTGGGATGTTTATTGAGTCCTCCACTGAGAAGACTGCTTTAAAGTGTCTGCCATTTCCTTGGTCCCCATTATTAATTCCCCAGTTGCACTCTCCAAGGGTCCAACACTTACATTTGCTATTCTTTCTTTTTACGTACCCCTTGAAGCTCACTGTTTGTTTTTATATTACTTTTGTGATCAATTTTCACCTTTTTTCTTAGCTTCTTAATCATCTGCTGCTGGTTCTTAAAAAAAAAAAAGTCCCAATTCTCAGGCCTGCCACTAACTTTCACTGATTTTAAGTCTTTTGTTTGGGTGCTGTCCCTGACCATCTTTGTTAACAACCTCTTTATTGAGTTCCTTTTGGCCAGAATAAATTTTTACTGAGTGTTTTGAAAAGCTGAGTGCTTAATGTCTGTCACTGGTGTTTACTGATCTTCCTCTTGATCTATTTTCCCAGCCAGGTTAGACAGTTCCTTCTGCATACCTCTGTAAGCGCCTTTATTTAAGTTGAGGGTACTGGTGTGAGACCTGAGTTACTGCTGCACAAACTGAATTGAGATTGCCACCAGTTAGAGGATCCTTGACTACAAGATCTCTTATTAATTCCACCTCCTTAGACATTGCTAGGTCTAAAATAGCGTGTTCCTGGGTAGTGTTCATGATGTACTGCTCTAAAAAACAATTTCTGTTGCATTCCACAAATTCATCTTCCATGTTGCCCATGCCCATCTGATTTGCCCCGTCAATGTGCAGATTAAAATCACCAGTGACAATTGTAGTCCGTTTCTTACATACCTCCGTGATTTCCTGATTTGTACTTTGTCCCACAGCAAGAAGGTGACACCCAGCTGTGACTTTTTCCATCTGTTTAATTAAGTTAGATGTTAAATATTTTAAAAGTGAATTTCTGAACTGTGTTCATCAGGTGTAATAACATCTCATGATTTAAATTACTTGGCCAATAAAAAGAGACACAAAAGCAATACCTATCAATCACCTACACTCTTTTTCTGTGATGCTACACCTCAGCTCAGTCAGGTAGAGACAGGTTGAAGGGCCTGTCTGCTGCTGGTTATTATCTCCCATTGCCTTATTCACACAGTTTCACTCTCCCAGTCTGCTTCACACGTGACATTGACCTGCTCCACACTCTTCCCAATCTGCTTCAATTTGAATATTTTTGAGGCAGAGGTAGATAGATTCTTGATAAGCAAGGGCATGAAAGCTAAGTGGGGATGTGTTGTAATCAGATCAGCCATAACCTTATTGAATGATGGAGAAGTACAGAGTGGCCTACTCTGCACCTAAATCTTAAATTTCAGATGTGACTGTACCCATTTCTTATCTGTTCCCCTCATTCATTGCTAGGTTGGCTGTTTAAAGAAGTACAGCACAATGTGAAGACACCTTGGCTAAGGATTCGGAAACATTGGTTTGTGCTGACACAGGATTCACTGGATTATTACACCAACAATGAACTGAATGCAAAGCAACTTGGCATGTTGGTCCTGACCAGTCTATGCTCTGTACTCTGGCCTGATAAGGGCACGTACAAGGGAACAGGTAAAGTTTCTGAATGGATATTCAATCCTGTGACAAATGGCAGCAGGTAGCAATGTGAAGTGTTTGTGCCTCTTGTGTGGCTCCTTTGTGTGAATAAAACCGTCATTCACCCAATCAAACCCCCTTTCTGGAAATTGAAAACAGTGACAGTAAAGTTCTTGTGTGCATGGCATATCAGAGAAACGAGAATCAAGGAGTCAAGGGAAACGGGAAGAAGTCGAAAGCGAATTGAGCACAACATCAGTGATAGGAGGTGTGGGAATGGCCCACTGTCCTTAAGGATAGAGCACCTCAACAGCAAAGGCACTGACAGGTGCAAGGAGCTTAGGAGTCATCTCTGGACTTGCCTGTTAGTGCTGGACATACGAACCATATGAAAATGCATCGCAGAAAGAGCCCATTCAGCCCATTACATCTGCACTGGCTGACCAAACTAGCCCTCCTCCTAATCCCACTTTCCAGCACTTGGCCTGTAGCCTTGCAGGTTGCAGTCCTTTAAGTGCAGATCCAGGTTCCTGTCAAATAAGTTGAGGGTTTTCACCTCCACCACACAACTGGGCAGGAAATTCCAAACTCCCATCAACTGTGTACCCACTTCCCACACTGGAAGTTAGTGTGTCAGTATGCTGATCAGCATGTGCAGAACCTGGAATGTTACCGTCCACCGTCGGGGTGAAAAAGGGCTTCCTTATGTCTTCTCTAATCTTTCTACCAATCACTTTCAGTCTGTTCCCCTGGTAAATGACCTCCTCAACCTGCCACTAGGAGGAAAGAGGTCTTCCCTGTGCACTCCGTTCAAGCCCCTCATTATTTTGTACACCTCCATTAACTCAGCCCTCAGCCTGCACTGTTCTAAGGGAACAATCCAAAAAGCCCTTCCACCATCAATCCCTACTCTTGTATTCAAAATCTCATCCAGTAAAGGAAACAATGCTCTCGCATCATCTATCCTTTTGGAGGGTGGGAGAGGCCTAGGAATGCCTAAAAACCTTCTTGAATGTTAGATATGAGTCTCTTGGTTTAGTGAGAAAGGGCCAAAATGGTAAACTATTTTAAACTTCTTTGGTGGGTCCAGAGGTGTACCTACTAATGGGTTCACATTTCCTGTTGAGGAAAGTTTCACGTGTGATTGAGTGGAGTGTTACCGAGAGTGTGCTCTTCTTTCCCAAATTGTCAGCTGATCGTTTGTTGTACTTTCATTTGTCTGATGGACTTTTATCTGTTCACGCTTGATGAATGGTTGAAGTTAATGTTATAGGTGCATTTCCAGGAAAGCTAGATGGGTATCTGAGGGGGAGGGGAATAGAGGTAATATTGACAGAGTTAAAGTAGGAAAAGCAGAAATGACTTGAGTGGACCGTAAACCCTAGCAGAGACTGGTTGAGCAGAATGGGCTTTTTATGCTGTATAGTTAATATTTGTGATTACTCTCCTGTCTCTGAGTGACCTCTTGCTTCACATATCCTCTGCTTCGAACTGCCTGCTTTCATTTACTCTGATAGTTAGCTACTTCCAAAGCTTTTTAGTTGATGTGGAGTTCAATTCAAATCTCTGTTAATGTTATTTACTCAATGACCTTGCATATTTCTGTCATTTTCTTATTTATATTCTGCTATTGCATAGGTTCTCCTCTCTTTCCCATCTCGCTGTTAATTCCTTGTGACTAAAAGTTTCACTGAACAGCAACATGATGCCAATGTGTGGCTAAACACTGTGTACAGTTAACGCAGTGAGTGCCCCTTACCCTGCTGAATAAACACTGTGTACAGTTATGATGTGGAGGTGCTGGTGTTGGACTGGGTTGGACAAGGTCAGAAATCTCTCAATACCAGGTTATAATCCAACGGTTTATTTGAAAACACAAGCTTTCGGAGCATCGCTCCTTCTTGAGGTGTTAGTGACAGAGCAAGTATCAGACACAGAATTTATAAGTAAAAGATCAAGGGTTCATATACTGATGCGGATATGTTAAACAAACTTAAGATTCTGTTAAATCTTTAATCAGTTACAAGGTTTTAATTGATTAATATGTGTATGTAAATCCCTGAATTCCTTTCAAGTCCCTGTCCTGAGAGAACTAAAGGTTTTATCAGTGTAGACAAGAAGTAACATTTTAGGTCAGACAATACATGTTAGTTTGAGACCTTGTTTAGAATCTACTGCTATTTTGGTTTGGAGTCAGACTGGTTTTATTTCTAAAAATAGGAATTTATAAAAGGCCACATTGTCTATAAATTGTATGCTTTTTGAACAAAATATAATGTATCTGCAAATACAGATTCACCCAATAGATTTATGCGCGCATGCGTGTAGGAAGCAGAGTGCGTGTGTGTTGGGGGGGAGGGAGGCAGATTGTGTTCGTGTGTGTGTGTGTGTGGCAGAGTGCGCGTGCGTGTGGGGGGAGGCAGAGTGCACACGCATGTGCATGTAGTGGTGTCACCTGTACTGCGACATGAACCCAAAATCCCGGTTGAGGCCATCCTCATTGGTACTGAACTTGGCTATCAGTCTCTGCTCAGCGACTCTGCGTTGTTGAGTATCCCAAAATCTGCCTTGGAGGACGTTTACCTGTAGCTCTGAGGCCGCTGAAGTGCTCCCCCACTGGGAGGGAACATCCCTGTCTGGCAATTGTTGATCGGTGTCCATTCATCCATTGCCATAGCGTCTGCATGGTTTCACCAATATACCATTGCCTCGGGGCATCCTTGCCTACAGAGTATGAGACTGACAATGTTGGCCGAGTCACTGAGTACCTGCCGTGTACATGATGGATGTTGTTCCCACGTGTGATGGTAGTGTCCATGTTGAAGATCTGACATGTCTTGCAGAGGTTGCCACGACAGGATTGTACAGTGTTGCGGTCAGTGTTGTCCTGAAGGCTGGATAGTTTGCTACGAACAATAGTGTTTTGTCAGTTGTTTTAAGGCAAGAAGTGGAGGCATGGGGAAGATTTTGGCGAGATGCTCACTGTCATCGATAATGTGTTGAAGGCTGCAAAGCACATGGCGTAGTTTCTCTGCTCCTAGGAAGTACTGGCTGACACAGACATTGGAAATGGAGATCGATGAGTTGAGCATCTTATCCTGTTCCTATTAGGGTGCCCTTCAAAACCTTCAGGTGTCTATCATGTTCCTCCTCATTCATGCAGATCCTGTAAATGTGTAAGGCTTGTCTGTACGGAATGGCTGTTTTAAATGTTTAGGGTGGAAGCTAGAGAAGTGCAGCATCGTGAGGTGATCTATAGGCTTGGGGTAGAGTGAGGTACTGAGGTTCTGAAACTGATGGAGATGTATGTGTCCAAGAATGAGACTTATTCTAAAGAGTAGTCCATGGTAAGTCTGATGGTGGGATGAAGCGTGTTGATATCGCTGTGCAGCTGTTTCAGTGATTCCTCGCTATGAGTCCAAAGGAAAAAAATATCGTCAATGTATCTGGCGTACTGCGTTGGTCGGAGGTTCTGTACAGCAAAGAAGTCTTCTTCAAATCTGTGCATGCAAATTTTAGCATATTCAGAAGCAAATCTGGTCCCCACGGCTGTTCCTTGTGTCTGGATGAAGAACTGGTTGTCGAAGGTGAAGACGTTGTGGTCAAGGATGAAGTGGATCAGTTGTAGGATGGTGGCTGGAAATTGGCAGTTGGTGGTATTGAGTACTGAGGCTGTTGTGGGGATGCTGGTGTAGAATGGTGAAACGTCTATTGTGACAAGGAATGTTCCTGGTTCGACTGGTCCGTGGGTGCTGAGCTGCTGTTTTTAAAAAAAAAAATCTGTAGAGTCGCAACAGAAGCTGGGGGTTCCCTATACAATGAATTTGTATTTGCAGATACATTCTATTTTGTTCAAAAAGTGCACAATTTATAGACAGTCAGTCAATGTGGCATTTTATAAATTCCTATGTTGGTAATAAAACCAGTCTGACTCCAAACCAAAACACAAACAGACTCTAAACAAGGGCTCACACCTAACATGCATTGTCTGACCTAAAATATCACCTCTTCTTTACACTGATAAAACCTCTGGTTCTTTCAGGACAGTGACTTGAAAGGAATTGAGAAGGAATTTCTTCACCCAGAGGGTTGTTAATCTATGGAATTCCTTGCCCAGTGAAGTAGTTGACGCTACTTCAGTAAACGTTTTTTAAAAAAAAGGTAGATTTTTTTGAACAATAAAGGAATTAAGGGATATGGTGAGAACGCGGGTAAGTGGATCTGAGTCCATGAAAAGATCAGCCATGATCTTATTGAATGGCGGAGCAGGCTCGAAGGGCCAGACGGCCTACTCCTGCTCCTAGTTCTTATGATTTACATAAACATATTAATCAATTAAAACCTTCTAACTGATTAAAGATTTAACAGCATCTTAAATTTGTTTAATACATCCTCATCTGTGGTGTGACCCTTTGATCTTTTACTTATCAATTCTGTGCCTGATACTACCTCTGTCACTAACACCTCAAGAAGGAGTGAAACTCCGAAAGCTTGTGTTTTCAAATAAAGCTGTTAGACTATAACCTGGTGTTGTGAGATTTCTGACCTCTGTTACAGTTATACAGTGAGTGACCTTACACTGAATAAACACTGACTCTGTACAGTTATGCAGTGAGTGATCCTTATCCTGAGTAACCACTAGCTTTGTACAGTTACCCAGTAAGTGACCTTTACCTTATTGAATAAACATAGGAAGCCATTTCAATTCTGATAATTTCATGGTTATTTTCAGGCTACTGGAACATCACAGTGTATGGACGGAAACATCACTACCAACTGTTCACAAAGCACCTGAACCAGTGCATTCAGTGGGCCTGTGCTATCCAGAATGTCATCAATTGTAAAGCTCCTGTGGAGACACCAACACTGCTCCTAATTCAGGACATTGAGGTATTCTCCAAATGATCCATAATTACTCATTGATACAGTGACCTATTGATTGGCAGGCATTTGACATTAAATAACCTGGGATTTAATGTAAAGATGAATTCGTTTTGAGAAAGTTTAGAATTTGAGTTTCCTTTTTAGCTGTTGCTTTTTCAGTTTTTAGATTTTGACTAACTTGCTGTATTTTTCCAGCATGTGCAGTCTTTAGCTTTGATTTTCCTATCAGGTATTTATGGAATTGCCTCCTGTCTTGTCTGATTCTGATTGAGGTGAATCCCTGAGCTCCATTTCTGAATCTAAATACTTATTTATTCCAGGAGAACTGCACAAATTCTGAAGTCCTGGAAAATATTTACAAATGGAATCCTATTCTCCAGCATACTCAGAACCCACTTTACTCTCCTCTACTCCCGTTCCCCTATGGAATAGGGGCTCACCACCGTAAGTGCAAGCCCCTCTTTGATTGTTGAATGTAAACTTCCACAAATGAATAGAGCATTAGACATTGTTTACTTGGACTTCAGTAAAGCCGTTGACTGGTTTACATGATAGACTAATTAGTTGAGTTAGGTCACCATGGGATTCAGGGTGAGCTTACAAATTGAAATCCAAATTGACTCAACAACAGGAGGCAGTAGTGGTGGAGGGTTGTTTTTCAGACTGGAGGCCTGTTACCAGTGGTGTTCCATAGGGATCAGTGCTGGATCCACTTTTGTTTACAATTTATATAAATGATGAGAACATAGAAGGCATAGTTAGTAAGTTTGCGGATGACGCCAATATTGGCAGCATGGTGGACAGTGAAGAAGGTTATCTAAGGTTACAAAGATGTCTTGATCAGTTGGGTCAATTGGCTGAAGAGTGGCAGATGGAAGTAATTTGGATAAATGCAAGGTATTGCATTTTGATAAAACAAACAAGAACAGGACTTACACAACTATAAGTAGGGTCTTGGGTAGTGTTGTAGGACAGAGAAACCTGCGGGTTCAGGTACATAATTCTCTGAAGTTTGCATTACACGTAGACAGGGTGATGACGAAAGTGTTTATCCCGCTTGCCTTCATTGCTCAGACCTTTAAACATAGGAATTGGGACATGATGTTAAAGTTGTATAGGACATTGGTGAGGCCTCTTCTGGAATACTGTGTCCAGTTCTCATCGCCCTGTTCTAGGAAGGATATTATTAAGCTAGAGAGGGTTCAGAAAAGATTTACCAGGATGTTGCCGGGAATGGAGGCTTTGAGTTATAAGGATAGGCAATATGGGCTGGGACTTTTTTCACTGGAATGTAGGAGGTCGAGGGGTGACGTTATTTGTAAAATCATGAGGGTATTGATAAGATGAATGGCAGGTGTCTTTTCTGTCAGGTGGGGGATTTCAAGACTAGGCGGCATATTTGTAAGGTGAGAGGAGAAAGATTTAAAGAAGATACGAGGGGCAACTTTTTTTTTTTGCACAGAGTGGTTCCTCGGTGGAATGAACTTCCAGAGGAAGTGGTGGATGCGGGTACAGTTACAATGTTTAAAAGAGATTTGGATGAATACATGAATAAGAAATGTTTGGAGGGATATGTACCCTGCAGAGGTAGGTGGGACTAGTTTAATTTGGGTTATGGTTGGCATGGATTTGGACTGTAGGGTCTGTTTCTGTGCTGGATGACGCTGTGACTCTGACTATGATTCATGTTATAACCCCGAAATAATAGATTAACACCAAAGAGAGAACATTGTTGTTGAATCATAGATTTGGAATAATTGGGAGAGTTTGAGAAAGAGATTGGGTAGATTTGGAGGGTAAGGAGAAGGGTGATAAGGTGAGGATTTTGGGCTTGATGCATATATGAAACATTAAAAAAAAGCATTTGACAAAGCATCATGTAATTGAAACAAATTACTGGAGAAAGGCAGCATGTCTCACAATATCTGTAAATAGAGAAACAGAGTGAACATTTCCAAACGGTGAATTTTTATCAGAATACAAATTCATTTGCCAAGCCCATTGATATTTCTTGATGCGGACATGGTCAGTGTGGATTGCATTGGCATCCATAGCCTGGTTTTTATCTGCAGGGTCAAGGAGCTCTCTGACACTAGTTTTTATCTTCTGGGTCAACCATATATTAGGTTTTTGTGTGATTGGGATGTTTTGAATGTCTCAAGGCTAGGTCATTAAGAATACCCATGGCTGAGATAGACAGATTTTAATCAGTAAGGGATTCAAAGCTAACGGTGATAAGCCAGGAAAGTGGAGATGAGGATTATCAGATCAGCCATGATCTTATTGAGTGGTGAAGCAGTTTTGATGGGCTGAATGGCATCCTCCTGCTCCTACATATTGTAGTCTTATGGGATATGAACAAGAAACAATCTGTTATGGACCACACCTGATCAATAACCTTGTGATGTCTAAAGGAACCTTTTGTTTCCTAGTTCTACATATTTAGTGACGCTGGATTGTTTGGAGCACATACAAAATGCTACATGGTGGGATTGAAAATGAATGGTAGAGTGCTATCATGACAGCCTGGTCATTTTGTATCATTGCTTTTCTTTTCTAGTCAAGAATACTAAAGGCTATACAACACTCCACGATGAAGCTGTCAAAGTCTTCAATTCATTGCAGCATCTAGAGACTGAACAAGATCCTATCCCCCTCATTCAGGGTATACTGCAAACCTGCCTTGATCTGGAGCCTCTCCGTGATGAAATCTACTGTCAGCTGATCAAGCAGACAAGCAACCCTCCACATGTGGGAAGTATCAGTGATCTGCGAAATTGGCAGCTGCTGACATGCATGAGTGTCACCTTCCTCCCCAGTACCACCGTTCTCAAATACCTTCGGTTCCACATTAAACGGTGAGAACATAAGAACTAGGAGCAGGAGTAGGCCATCTGGCCCCTCGAGCCTGCCCTGCCATTTAATAAGATCATGGCTGATCTTTGAGACTCAGCTCCACTCACCTGCCTACTCACCATAACCCTTAATTCCTTTACTGTTCAAAAATTTATCTAGCCTTGCCTTAAAAACATGCAGTGAGGTAGCTTCAACCGCTTCACTGGGCAGGGAATTCCACAGATTCACAACTCTTTGGGTGAAGAAGTTCCTCCTGAGAATGCACAAAGCAGAGCCCCCTGTACTGCAGGAATAACTGCTCCATGTTCCCAGTACCAGATTACACAAGTGAAATGTTTGAATATCCAGGCACACATGATCACAGAATGGAGAAAACCGTTGTCCAGGGGAAAATTTAAACTTTTAATTAAATGTGATGAGTTTTACTTTTGTCAGTTGTCTTTGGAAAAGCATCACACATCCGTAGTCATGGAGAAATTAGAGCTAAAGCAGGCCATTTGACTTATCAAGTCCACGTTGGTTCTCTGTAATTTTCTTCTGAAATAATTCTACATATCTACTCCTATTCTTGCACGCAGTGACTTTCATGTCATTATGATTCACTGTGTAAAAAAAAAAAAAGACTTCCTCACTGCCCTGTCTCTTGCCTTAATTCTGAAGTTCCAGATCCCGTAGCCTTTACTTAACTGCTCTTGACCTGTAATGCAAATGCATCCTGTCTCTTTAGAAAGGGGCGATTGAATCTCTATTGCCACTTCCTGTCCCTTCTGCCAAAGTGCACCACCTCTCACTTCTCGATGTTAAGTTCCATTTATCCCTTGTCTGCCTATTCTGCCAGTCCATCTATGTTCTGTTGCAATTGATCGATGTCATCCTTATTGTCAGCTACATCTCCAAGTTTGGTGAACCTACAAATTTTACTCTGTATTTCAGTATCAAACGCATTTGTATTAGAAAAAAACAGTAGTTCTAATACTGACTGTTTGGTAACACCTTGATGATTCACCCTCCACTGTAAAAATAATTTATCATAATTTGATATTTTCTGCCCTTAAGACAGACTCATGGAGTAATACAGCATGGAAACAGGCCTTTTGGCCCAAATTGGTCCATGCTGACCATGATGCCAAAGATTTTATTCAAGCTGACACCTGACACTCGTTCTATGGGCCTGAATTTGGTTAGCCAGCCTTTTCTGTTACTTTGTTTTTAAAAAAAACTCCAGTTAGATTAATTGAACACAACTTGCCCCTTACAGATTTGCACTGACTCTCCTTAATAACTCAGGCCTCTCCAAGTGTCTGTTGCTTTTTCTTTGATTGTTGTTTTTAAATTCTTACCTACTGCTGATGTTAAACTGAGCATCCCATACTTATCAATAATGCCCTACACGCTTAAAACAGAATGTAACACTTGTCCCTCTCCAATCCTCTGGCGTCTCTCCCATTTCAAGTGAAAATCGAAATATTATGGCAAGTCCTTATACTATCTCCAATGGCCCTTTCTTTGGCAGCCTAGAGTCCAGGCATCCAGATCTGGCTATTTATCCACTACAACTGGTTTTCAGTCATTTCTGCAGTTTTCACCCTATTCGTTACTTTGCTCATCTCTACATCTGCCAATATTTTATCAGTTTCGTCTTCCTTGGTAAGCACGTAATGCAAATTACTCATCAAGTATTTTTGTTTTGCTGTGTACCTTTAAGTATTTTAAACATATTGAATTCCAGTGACTACAGCAAGTGATTAGGATTGGGCAAACATTGCCTGAGAGTGTGGTAGAAGCAGATAAAGTTATAATTTTCAGCAGATTGTCTGGGACGGCTTGATGGCTCAGTGGTTAGCACTGCTGCCTCGTAGTGCCAGGTGCCAGGGACCAGGGTTCAATTCGAGCCGTGGGCGAGTGTGAGTGTGGAATTTGCACAATCTTTCTGTGACTGTGCGGGTTTCCCCCACAGTACAAAGATGTGCAGGTTAGGTGAATTGGCCAATCTAAAATTGCCCTGTAGTGTCCAGGGATGTGCAGTCTAGGAACGTTAGCTGTGGGAAATGCAGGGTTGCAACAAAAGGGTAGTGGGGGTTGGTCTGGGTAGGCTCTTTGGAGGGTCAGTGTGGACTTGATGGACTGAAAGGCCTGCTTCCACACTGTAGGGATTCTGGGAAAAGAAAGCATTTCAGTGTTAAAAGGAAAGAGAAGTGGGACTGAGTTGTTCTTGCAGAGAGCCAGTATAGGTGTGAATGGTCAAATGGCTTCCTTTGTGCTGTAAATATTCTGTGAAGCTATGATTTGTAAAAAGTCTAAGAATTTCATAGCTTCCACTCCTAACATTGAAGCCTTTTAACAATTAAAATAGTATTAAAAACATGTTTTTAAACAAAAGCTGTTTGCTCCTGATGTACACCGTCGGTGGGGCATCCAGAAACGGGGCCTTTGTGGAATTTATTCCCCCTCTGCTTGTATGCTGCTTAGCTACAGTGTTAGTGATATTGTACAGAACTGTGGATCAAAAATCTGCTCATCTGAGTCAGTGACAGCATGTTGTCACTCTTGTTCTCCCAGAAGCTGAGCACTGGTCTTTCAATTGAAGGTGGAAATCATTTCACCAATGATTGGAAGCTCTTCTGAATCAGATGTGGGGTGTAAGCCATCTCTTTGAGTTTACGATTGACAACTTTTTGCATTTTTGTCGTTCATATTTTCCATCTTCACAGGTCACAGGACCAGTTTCCAAAGACTGAAGTATATAAATATGCAGAATTCATTGCAAATTCGTTAGTCAGGACCAAATGCAGGAAATGTGTACCATCTTGTGAAGAAATTCTGGTCTTGATGCGGCGAGAGGAAATGAGTTGCATCATTCACTATGCTGGCTCCAAATTTTGCAAGGTCACCATTAATTCACATTCAACAGCTGGAGAGGTAAGAGAAAAGCTAACAAAGTGAGGCACAGATTGTGGACAGAAAGTGTTAAAACTCTGTGTTTGAGTCCAGAAGGCTGAACAATATTTAATTGAAACGCAAGTTGCTGTTCCTCAAATTTGTGTTGAACTTCATTGGGAAACTTAAGGAGGCCAAGGACCAGGAGGTTTGCCTGAGAGTGAAGTGAAGAATTCAAATGACAGGTGATCAGAAGTTCAAAATCATGCTTTCAGAATGAATGGAGATATTCTGCAATGTGGTCACCCAACCTGCATGTGGTCTTCACATTGTAAGGCAGACTGCATTATGAGCAGTGACTTCAGTATGCAAAATTGAAGGATGTATATGTTAATTGCTCTTTAACCTAGAAGGGGTGTTTGGGATCTCAGACAATGGGGAGAGGTGCAACAGCGTGTATTGCACTTCCTGTACTTGAATGGTAAGGGGCATGGAAAGATGAGAAGGTGTGGGGCGCTTGAGGAATGGATCAGGGTATCACAAAGTCATTGGTCCCTATGGAATACTGAGAGGGGAAGGCAGGAAATATGTGTTCGGTAGATGCATCATAGCTGAGATAATGGAAATGGTGGAGGATGATCCAATAAAATGGACACTGGTGTGGTGGAAAACAAGGTCAAGGAGAACACCATCATAGTTCTGGGAAGGAGGTGAAGCGGTGAGAGCAAAAGTAAATGAAATAAAACAAAAAAAAGTCAAAGGCCCTGACACGGGTGTGGTTATTGGTTGAGGTAAAAGGAAGACATCAGAGAGTTGCAACATCCAAACCAATGGGACACAGCCGTAACATGAAATGAAATGTAAGAAAATGGAGCCAAATTAGGTGTGAAATGGGGTTGAAGACTTGCAATGAAATTTCACTGATCCTCTGAAATACAAACAGAAAAGTTGAAGAAAGAGAGAGCTGAGATTTACCAAGAAGAGAAAGGTGGAACTTGGAGGCCAAGGTCATGAAGTTTTCCAGATGGGACATAAGGAAAAGGCACTGATACAGTCATTGACGTACCAGTAAAGGGGCACAAGTATGTCTGGGAGAAGGAATATTTCTTAGCTTACCATCCTTCTGTAAGATATAACACCTATCCAAGCGACAGGGTGCACTGGTCTGGATGGGGTTTGGCAGCTTCTCCCCTGCCCCAGTTCTGCTGGTTGCTGACCACAGTGAATCCAGCAGCTGCCTTGGGTAAAAGGGTTGCTGAGTAAAGTTGAGGGTCTTGGATAGAGTGAGTTTGAAAGACCTATTTCTTTAACAGAGATCAATAAACAGAGGATATAGTTTTAAAGTAATTAGTGGAAGGATTAGAAGTGGGTTGAGGGGAAATGTTTTCACCCTTGGTTGGTTGTTGGTGAGTAGCTGGAACTCACTGCCATAAAGTGAGGTAACAACCCTCATCACTGCTTTATAAAAAAACACAAAGTTAGATATTACAGTTGAGGTTCTGTAACCTACAGGATGCAGACCAAAAGCATAACATTGAGACCGGACAGTTTCTTTACAACCAGCATAGACATGATGGGCCAAATAGCCATCTTCTCTTAGTTTTGTTAATTAGTTTTGTTTCTATCTTTTCCCTGTTTTAGAGCAGAACTCATGGCTCATTTTCCCCTCTATCATCCAAAGGCAGTGAGGCCTGACCAAGAGTAGTTAACTTTTTTGCACTGGATTCAAATGTGGGTCCCCATGCTTGGTCTGATTCTGTGTCACAACAGAATGTGTGGCCAGGCTCAATGGAAAGTAGCATCCTTTTCATTTTCTCATTGCCTCCCAACTGCAGCACTGGGTTTGCTGCTGGTATGAAGTGGCACACACACTAAAACATCACACATTGCCATCTACATGCCAGTGTGACCAATCTAAGCTCACTTCTTTCCTTTACTCCATTGCAGGTTGTGAACAGTTTGCTGGTGACACTTGGTTTGGGACATAGTCAAAATCAGTTTGCTCTCTTTGAACAGAATTTAACTGATTGGTGGCTCGTGGCAGATGACACTGTTGTAGCAGATATTATAACCAGGTTTGAAAAGTAAATATCCAGATTTTATTTTGTTTAGTAATGTGTAAACAATTATACTAACACCAATTTTGAATTGTCAGGCAGGCTCGCAGTGTGGCGTACTTGTGTTTACTGGAAGTTTTGCTGTCAAAACACGGACCATCATTGCCTGTTTGAAAGCAACAAAATAAATGACAGCCACTCGCTAGCCCATTTCTCAGGGCAATGCATTGAATAAGCATCAACCTGGTTTAAAAAGTAAAAAAAGCCTGCAGTTAGCTGTCAGTCATTGTTATCTGGTGCATTTTTCACGGCCATACGTTGACCAGTCAGAGTCCAGTTGCCAACAAATCAACATTGTCCTGTCATACAGTATAAATATTGTTTCCCTTTAAGGTGGTAATTTTTTTGAATTGTCCTAATGAGTACAAAATGAAAAAGCTTCAATAAAATGTTTAAAGCAATACTTTATGGATAGAATGAAGAAAAAGATTTAAGACTGTTGAGGGAGTTGTTTGTAAATCTAGGGACTTGAAATTTGAGAATTTCTAATCGACCTGTTCAGAGATATCATATACCTCTGGAGCAGGTGTGACTTGAACCCAGGCCTCCTGGCTCAGACATAGGTACACTACCTCTACACCTCAAGCGCCCTCTACTTTAAATTCTATATAGTTTAAGATAAGCAGACTACCATTTTAAAAGGTAGTTAATTTTCTGAGAGTATCCCAGATTGTTTCCTGCAACAATATATCCTCAACTCAAAAAGTGACCGTGACCTATTAGATCTGGTAAAGAACCAGGTGTGATTAATGGTTAGTGAGCATTTATTTAATAATGGCCATATAACGTAGTGATTGATGGACAGAAACCTGAAACAATTAAGGTTCTAGTTTGAAGTGAGTCTGACTTCAACGTAGTGAGTTTGAGATTATCCACTGTAAACTTAGTAAATCTGTTAATGAGTGCAACATCAGAAGATCACGAGGTGGTGTTCAAAAATAATTTTAGGATCCAGACCTAATAGAGTCAAAAGAAAATGCACGTATTAGTGCAAAAGGCAGTCCAGATCCTTGGGACGGAGAAATAAAAACAATAAAAAGGGTGACAGTTATCAAAATGGAGTACAAAAGAAATTAGTAAACAATGTGAAAGTCATCCTTGAAAACACCATGATAATATTGTCAATGATAATTACTGTTGGTATTTACAGTAGAGATAGAATAACAGTTCACACATCCCAAAAATATATTAAAATTGGGTGGAATTTAATGTCATCCTGCGAGGTGAGTTGGGAGGCGAGGGGATCTTTAATTGGGAAAGAGGGTGGGTACCAGGTGACGATGCTGCTGCCTTCCTGCCTCTGCCCTGATTAAGTCTGGGGTAGGACTGCTCATATACAACCCTTCACCCTGTCACCACGATGTTTTAACATAACCAGGAATGTGGCAAAACCACAGTCATCAAGCAAAAAGTTAGAGTTAGGACAAAATGGCTTCCACTCTAGGATTTTGAGGGAAGTGGATGCATATATTACAGATTTACTTACTATTATCTTTTGGCTTGAATCTATTCCTGAAGTTAGAAAATTATGTACTAGTCTGTTATTGAACAATGTGATGGAGGAAACAGGGAATTATTAAACCGGTTAGTTCAATATCTGTTGTCAGGAAATTATTGTTGTCTCTAAATTAAGGAAAAAGTGACTAATTATCTTGAAAATCCTCTGATTAGGGAGAGACATTAAATTGTTGATTCCCTTCAAAATTGCGCATTCTTAACGTCAGTCCTGAAGAATGCAAGGAGAAAATTTTGAAAGCTTTTGTTTTTCTGCAAGACTTGAGTTCCTTATCATCAAGCAACTATTTGTTTGTATATGCTGTTGTACCAAGGAGAATGTTAGAGTAGTCCATTTGTTTGAACTTAGAGCTTTTTCTTTTTTTGTTCCAGTCTTGCTATAAATATGGAAGAGCCAGAAAACCAGTGGAAGCTTTATTTTAAACTGTACTGTTTCCTGGATTCGAGCAATATTCCAAAGAATAACTTGGAATTCACTCTTCTGTTTGAACAGGTAAAAAGATAGCGCCAGGATAGTCATTGGGTTACCCCACTGTTTGGTCAGCTGTGACAATCGGTCAACAATCTTAATTATCAATTTGTTCTCCTCATCAATTTTTTTCAATATCTGTCTTATTAAGACATTGATTATCTCTGATCCTAGGGTCAACCTAGGTTTTCTATAGGTCCATGTCTATAGCAACAATGATTCAGTATGCAGCTTTGCACCACATTAAAGGGACTTTTTCTAAGTGCTAAATTGTGCGATTTAGATATTTGGGATAGCTGACAGGAAGGGGGGTTTTAACGATGCAGAAGGTATGAACATGAAACACTGTAAATTGCTGGTATAAAGATCTTAACATCGTAGCAAATATAAGGAAATGAGGAATACAAAGGAAGCAGGAAAAAATATAAACAAAGAATTAGGCTAAGATGTGTTATGAATTGACCTTGGCAAATATGATTAAGGAGAATCCCAAGGCATTTTATATGTATATTAGGAGCAAGAGGTGAATAAGGGGAAGGTTCACTCAAGGACAAACGAGGGAATTTATGCATGGAACCAGAGGAAGTGCGTGAGGTTCTTAATGAATTCTTTGCATCGGTATTCACCAAGGAGAAGGGCGTGGATGATGGTAAGATTGGTGGGGGGGAATGTTCATATTCGAGGCATGTTGGCATTAAAAAGGAAGTGGGGTTCAGTGCCTTGAAAAACATTAGGGGTAGGTAAGTCCCCATGGATTAATGGGATCTATCCCGGGATACTGAGGAAGGCAAGGGAGGAGATTGCTGGTGCTTTGACAGAGATCTTTATATCCTCTTTAGCCGTGTCCCAGAAACCTGAAGAATAGCCAATGTTGTTCCTTTGTTTAAGTAGGGCAAAAGATACTCCAGGAAATTATAAGCCAGTGAACCTTGCATCGTGGTAGGGGAAATTATTTTGAGAAGATTCTTAGGGACAGGATTTACTCACATTTGGAAAAGAATGGACTTATTGGGGATAGTCAGCGTGGCTTTATAAAGGGGGAGGTCTTATCTCAAAATTGATTGAGTTTTTTTGAGGAAGATTACTGATGAGGATAGGACAGTGGATGTTATTTACATGGATTTGACTAAAGCATTTGTCAAGGTCTGTCATGGTAGGCTGGACCATAAGATTACATCACATGGGATCCATGGTGTGTTAGTAAATTGGATACAAATTGAATTGATCATAGAAGATAGAGGGTAGCTGTTGAGGGGTGTTTTCTGACAGGAGGTCTGTAACCAGTAGTGTTTTGCCAGCATCAGTGCTGTAACCTCTGTTGTTTGTAATTTATTTAAATGATTTAGATGAAAATGTATGTGGTCTGATTAGTCAGTTTGCAGATTACACAAAAATTAGTGGAGTTGTGCACTGTGATATAGATATAGATCAGTTGGAAAGTTGGGCAGAGAAATGGCAGATGGAGTTTCATCTGGACAAGCATGAAGTGATGCATTTTGGGAGGTCAAATGCAAGAGGAAAACATACAGTAAATGGCAGGACCCTTAGGAGCATTGCTATACAGAGGGATCTTGGGGTGCAAGACCATAGCTCCCTAACAGTACAAATGGATAAGGTGGTAAAGAAGATGTATGACATGCTTGCCTTCATCGTTCGGGGCATTGAGTATAAAACTTGGCAAGTCATGTTGCATCTGTATAAAACCAGAGTTAGGCCAGATTTGAAATATTGTGAACGGTTCTGGTCGCTGTACTATAGGTAGGATGTGGAGGCTTTGGACAGGGTGCAAAAGAGGGTTACCAGGATGTTATCTGGTTTGGAGTGTATTAGCTATAAGGAGAGGTTGGACAAACTTGAATTGTTTTTGCTAGAACATCAGAGGCTGAGGGGTGGCCTTATAGATGTATGTAAAATTATGAGGGGCATGGATAGGGTAGATAATCAGACACTTTTTTTTTCTTCCCAGGATGGAAATGTCGAATACCAGGGGTATAGGTTTAAGGTGAGTGGGGGAATAAGAGATGTGCAGACTTATTACACAGAGGCTGGTAGGTACCTAAAACATGCTGCCAGGCGAGGTGGTAGAAGCAGATAAGATAGCAACATTTTAGGGACATTTAGACAAACACATGAACAGGCATGGAGTAGAGGGGTAGAGACCATGTGCAGGCAGATGGGATTAGTTTAGAATGGCATCATGATCAGCACAGACATGGTTGATTGAAGGGCCTGGTCCTGTGCTGTATTATTCTATTTTCTAGTACCACTTTTACATGGTTGATTTTGAGAATGAATATGGTGGGTCCCAAGGGGAAGGGGTCCAAAAGGAGCACTCGGTATTTTAGAGGCAGGCCTCTTGCAAGAGTTAACAAGTGGTTCTCTGCTTGCCAGAATCCTAGCATACCTGTCACTTAATCACCCAGTGTGACCATCCACTCTGAATGATCATCACTATGTGGGTCTAACACTTTCCAAGACTGTTTTTGTTCCTTTGATTTAAAAACAAGTACATTGTATAAGCTTCCTTTTAGACTTCCTATTTTAAATATCAAATGTTTAGTTTTTATTTTGGCAAAAGTATATTTATTCTATTTCTATTTTTTTGTTTCATAGAACATCTGTTGCATTGTCACTGCTGAAATAAACGATTGTATACTAATTGTGAAGCTAAATGTAAAATATCAAAATTGTATCCAATTGTTGACAATTGCTGTAAATGAAAATTGTTTATTATTTCCTAGGATTATAAAATAGTTACAGCTCCGGAGGCAACCATTTAGCCAGTTGTGACCTTGCCTGCTCACTGCAAGCACAATTCACCTAGTCCAAAATAAAAGAGGCAAAATAGTGCAGGATCTACAAATCTGAAATAAACAAGTTTCATTGGAGCCCATAGTTTGGTCGTCTATATGCCCTGAGAGAAGCTGTAGCTAGTTAATTGGTGGCTGGTTTAATGTGTGTTTTTGTTTTAAAAGTTTGAGTCATTTGTTTTCATGAAGTATAAATAGGCCACGCTGAGTGCAGCTTTGGTTTTATCAAGTTGTGAAGGGGAGGAGGAGGTGCCCCTTTGTTTTTCTACCACTTTTGGCTGACTGTTAATTGGCTGTTACTTTAGTGCAGGGGAAGAAGTTGAGTAGTGTTTTCTATTTCAATTGTAGTAAACAGTTTTTAAAGTTACGGGTTGGCAGGTCAATTGGACCAAGCAGAAAGCAAATCATGCACTATGTGTAAAGTCATAGATGCACCGCGCATCCCAGACATTTGCAGGAAGTGTCACCAGCTGCATAAGCTTGAGTTCCAGGTTTTGGAACTTGAACAGTGGCTGGAGTCACCGTTAGCATCCGTGAGGCAGAGGACTACATGGATAGCATGTTAGTGAGCTGGTCACTCCGCAGATTAGAAGTGTACAGACAGCAAAGAAATGGGTGATGATTAGGTGGTCTAAGAGAAGCAGGCAGAATTGTACTTGCTAATCACTATTCTATTTTGGATAAGGGTGAGGCTGATGGTTCCTTAGAAGAGTACAGGCAGAGTTATCAGTGGCTCCACATTGATGTGCTATGGCTGATCATCCAACTGAGCCCCCTGTTCCCACTCTTGCCCCATACCCTTTGATCCCTTTAACCCTAAGAACTCTATCTTTCTCCTTCAAAACATTTAATGTTTTTGCCTCAACCACTTTCTGTGGCACAGAATTCTATAGGCTCCCCACTCTCCAGGTGGATAACATGGTTAAGGCATAAGGGACACTTGCCTTTATTTGCTGAGGCTTTGGGTTTGAAAGCATGAAAGTTATGCTGGAACTGTATAAAACATCGGTTGGCCACAGTTGGAGTATTGTGTACAGTTCTAGAGTTAACTTTATAGGAGAGGGTGCAGAGGAGGTTTATCAGGACGTTACCTGAGCTGGAGAGTTTCAGTTATGAAGAGAGATTGGACAGACTGGGATTGTTTTCCTTGGAGCAGAGGAGATTGAAGGGGGACATGATTGAAATCTCAAAAATTATGATGGGCATAGACAAGGTAGACAGGAAGAGACCTTTCCTCTTGATGGAGGGATCAAAGATCAGGGAACACAGATTTAAGTTAATGGGCAGAGGTTTAGAGGAGATGAAAAAGAAAACTTACTACCCGGAGGGTGGTGGGAACGTGAAAGTCACTGTCTGTATGGGTTGTTGAGGTAGAAACTCTCATAACATTTAAGAAGGTGAGACCACTTTTAGAATATGGTGTACAATTCTGGTTGTCCTGCTATAGGGAAGACGTTGTTAAGGTTGACAGGATGCAGAAAAGATTTACAAGGATACTGCCAGGATTGGAGGGTTGGAGCAACAGGGAGAGGCTAAATAGACTGCGGTTATTTTCCCTGGAACTTTGGAGGCTGAGGGGTGACCTTATAGAGGTTTATAAAATCATGAGGGCCATGAATAGGGTGAATAACCAAGGTTTTTTTTTCTTGGGTGGGGGATTCCAAAACTAGAGGACATAGCTATAAGGTGAGAGGGAGAAGATTTGGAAAGTACCTGAGGCGCAACTTTTTCACGCAGAGGGTGGTGCGTGTATGGAATGAGCTGCCAGAGGAAGTGGTGGAGGCGGTTACAATTACAACATTTAAAAGGCATCTGGATGGGTACATGAATAGGAACGGTTTCAAGGGATACAGGCCAGATGGGACTAGGTCAGATTGGGATGTCTCGTTAGCACAATGGGTTGGACAGAAAGATTTGTTTTTATGCTCTAAGTATTTAAATGGTGCACTTGCAATGGTAAGACAAACAAAGTTATGGGCCGAGTGCTGGAAAATGGGATTGGAATAGTTTGGTGCTTGATTTTGACTGGTATGTACACAGCGGGCTGAAGGGCGTTTTTCTGTGCTGTATATCTCTATGACTTGGGTGAAGAAATTTCTACTCTATAGCCTTAATTTGTTAGCCATGGGGAATGCAGGGATAGGGTAGAGGGTAGGTCTGGGTAGAGTGATCTTTGGTTGGTATGGACTTGTTAGGCTGAATGACCTGTTTCCATATTGTCGGGATTCTATTGTGACCCCTGGTTCTGGTCTCCCTGGTCATCGGGAATATCCTTCTTGTATCTACCCTGTTAGAATTTTATGCAGTTTCTATGAGATGCCCCTCATTCTTATAAACTCCAGTGAATATAGTCTCAATTAATCTAGTCTCCCTTCATGTGTTAGTCCTGCCATCCCAGGATTTGGTCTCGTAAAATTGGTTAGAGAATCAATCACATCTATGAGGAAGAATGAAGCATCAAATGAGGCAGAATGGGTTGAGCTCAGAACCAGAAAAGGGGTAGCCACACTGCTAGTGTCTACTATAGCCCCCAAACAATGAGAGGGAGTTAAGGGGTCAAATTTGTAGATGCAAGGACAATAGGGCAATAATAGTTGCGAACTTAAACCACCCAAATGTCAGCTGGGATACAAACAGTGAATTCTTGAACCAAATTCAAGGTAATCTTTTTAGTCACACGTAACAAGCCCAGTAGGAGAGAATGAAAACCAAGATTTAGTTCCATGAAATGAGGCTGGGCGGGTGGATAACCATTTTGGAGATTGCGATCATAACAGTTTGATTTAACATCATTATGGAAAGGAACAAAGATAGAACAGGAGTAAATGTCCTGAACTAGGGAGGGCAATCTTTACAAGATCATCTGGAAAAGGTGGACTGGTTACAGCTACTTGAAAGAAACAATGAGAAATCAGTGGAAAGCATTTTAAAAAGTGAGCTTTGGTCAGTGTAGACGTGTCCCCACAAAAAAAGGGTGGTACAGTCAAATCTTAGAGTCCTCTGATTATTCAGAAGCATACAGGATAAGATAAAGCAGAAAAATAGAGCTTATGACAATTTTAAAAAGAGTAATACTTTAGTAAACTTAGGGAAGTATAGGAAGTGCTGGGGTAAAATGAAAAGTGAAATTAGGAACTCTGAGGATATGAAAAAAAAATTAAGGTAAACTCCAAAGTTGTTTTTATCAGTGCATTAAGAGGATGACTAAAGAAAGGATTGGGCCTAACAGAGATGGTCATGGTAACTTGTTTGTGGATGCAGAAGATATGGGCAGAATTTGAAATGCGTATTTTGTATCTGACTTTATAGACGAGAGTGATGATGCAGACGTTCTAGATAAAGAGGAGAAGTCATAGAGTCATACAGCACGGAAACAGGCCGTTTGGCCCAACTCGTCCATGCCGATCAGATTACCTAAACTGAACTAGTCCCATTTGCCTGTGTTTGGCCCGTGTTAAATGGGGTTTGTCAAGATGTAAAAGAATAATTGTTATAGGGGATTCTCCTGATAGGGGTACAGACAGGAGATTCTGCAACCGTGAGTGTCAATGTAGGATAGTATGTTGCTTTCCTGGTTAGGGTTAAGGACTTAAAACTTTTGAAGCATACTGTCAAAGGGGAGAGAAGAAGCAAAAAGTTGTTTTACACGGTAGGAATGACATAATTAGGGAAAGAGTTAAGTTTTTGCAAAGTGAATATAAAGAGGTTAAATACATTAAAAAACAGAATACCAGAAGTAGTAATTTTCTGGTTCACTTCCAGTGCCAAGTTCTAATGAGGGAAAGCATAAAAGGATATGGGAGATAAATCAATGGCCAAAGAGGTGGTGCAATGTGCAGGCATTCAGGTTCTTGGATCATTTAGATCTCTTCTGGGACATAGAACATAGAACATAACAGCGCAGTACAGGCCCTTCGGCCCTTGATGTTGCGCCGACCTGTGAAACCAATCTGAAGCCCATCTAACCTAAACTATTCCATTATCATCCATATGTTTATCCAATGACCATTTAAATGCCCTTAAAGTTGGCGAATCTACTACTTTTGCAGGCAGGGCATTCCACGGCCTTACTACTCTCTGAGTAAAGAACCTACCTCTAACATCTGTCCTATATCTATCACCCCTCAATTTAAAGCTACGTCCCCTCGTGCTAGCCGTCACCATCCGAGGAAAAAGGCTCCCACTGTCCACC